CTCTCTCTCTCTCTCTCTCTCTCCCTCTCTCTCTCCCTCTCTCTCTCTCCATTCTTGACTTCTCATGTCCTCTGCCCTCTATTAAGATGTAGGGTTGCACCTGAACTACACCCTGAGTGTGAACATTCAAGTCTCTTGTCTTCTCAAACATAAAACAAGTGCTCCCTTTCCCCTGCTCCTAACTTTCCTTCTACACAGCAGTACCATCATTTCCCCAAATCTCCACAGTGAAAGCCTGAAGTTCTCTCTGACTGACATGTCCACTGGTCTCCAAATACTGGAGTTTTCACCCAGTGTCTCACTTCTTCTCTTCACTGCTACATAGGATCTCATCCTGCCTACCTCGAACCTGGTGATCCAGAGTTACCTCTCTGCTCCAGCCTCTGCCCTTGGAATGGACCTGAGCAGTGAGTTGAGGTGGAAGGACCCATTGGCAGTGGCAGGCTCATCAGGGGTGGGAAAAGGAGGACTGTGGTGTGTGCCAGCTGAGACTCTCCCCTCACAGTGCTGTTCACATTGTTGATGTGCCTGCAGGGTAGAAGGTGCCAGGGCCAGGGCTGAGGATAACCACCATGTGCTTTTTATGATGCTACATATGTACTGAGACCATACAACACGGAACACTATCCTAAGAACTGAGATACAGTGATGGCCGCAAGGAAGTCCTTGTCTACATGAAGCAAATGCCATCCTAGGAATAGATAGATTAAATTTCACTTATTAAAAAAAGATTCAGTGTGGTAGAGCAATACGTTGTAAGATTTATGTTAAAGGAAAAATAAAGTCAAAGAAAGGAAAGAAAAGTCTAGGGGATGAATGGCCAGGAAGCACTTCTCACCATCACTGGGGAAATGTGATTCAAATCCACAGTGAGACATCACCACACACTCAAGAGGATGCATTTTAATTAAAGAAACAGAAAATAAGTGTTCACAACAAGGATGTGGAGAAATTGAGTGAGTCTTCCAACATTGGTGGTAGGGATGTGAAAACGGTCTGTCTGGTTCTCAAAAAGCTAAACATAGAGCTACCATATGATCCCACAATTCCACTCCTACACATGTGTCCAAAAAAATTGAAAGCACATGCTCATGTGAAACCTTGCATACCAATGTTTATAATACCACTATTCACAATAGCTGAAGGATAGAATCAGGTAAATGGCAATAAACGGATGAAGAGATGAACAGAATGTGATGTACATGGACCATGAAATACCAGCCAGTATAGAGCATAACACTTATACATTAAGGAAGCTGGAGTGTAATTCAGTGGTAGGCCTCTTCCCTAACATGTGAGACCCTGAGTTCCAGGATTGCAAAAATAAAACATTAAGTAAAGTCAGTCAGACACAGAGGAGATGTAATGGGCAATGCCATGCAAAGCAGGAAAGCCCAGAGAGATGGGAAACAGAGCAAGGACTCCCAGTTCTGGAGAGAGGGCATAGCTGTGTGACTGCTTAGTGGGTATGTCATTTCTGATGGAAATGTTCTAGAAGTAGATGGTAGTAATGGTCAGGCAAAATTATGATGTACTAATTACCATTAAATTGCCCATTTGGTGAAAATGGTAAATTATATGTTACATGCACTTTACCACAATGTTAAAGGAAGTCAAGGAGGATGGTCACAGGGTATTCTTGGGATAGGGGTGTCAAGGAAACTCTGAACAATGAGGTGGGATTTGGGCAGAGCCCTGACGCAGGAGGGTATGAGACTTAAGTACACTAAGAGAAAGCCCTAAACAGAGAGGAGGCAGCACTCCAGCTCACGGACAGCTCTGAGCAGCCTAGTCAGCATCCCAGCTTCCTCACAATGGTGTCCCCTGTACTGAACCTTCTGCTCCACAGGTTCACACTTCCCTTCCTGTCCCCCTCCCCCCAACAGAGCATCAGCTATTTCACCGTCCCAAGACATCCTGGACACTCCCAGCTGTCTGTTACCAACAGAACTAGTCCTCTGAACATTTGGGTGGCCCCTGACCTTACTGCTCTCAGTCCGGGGACTGCTTCTTCTTGGGGGCAGTTTGTGAGTGACAACCTCAGACTGAAGTTACAGCACCTAGCCTGTTGCTCATCCTCATCTGCAGAGTGCCCTGGGTAGCTGGCCCTTCTCTAAGTTACTGTGCCCCCATATGTAAAATGAGGCAGGTTGAGAATAAAATAGATGACTATAGGGTGTTTAGCTTAATACCCAATACAGGGCGAGTTCTCAGTGATGGTGGCCAAGCAGCCGCTTCAATCTTCCCTACAATCTGCAGCTGGAAAGTTAATGCTTCATTTTGCATCCCCTGGAAACACATGGCAATCATTTAATGAATGTAGGTGGGAGTCAGATACAGGATGAGTACTGAGGTCGATGCTGATATTCTTGGAAACAGCCTTCCCCGTCTCTGGTGACATTTGGGGCAGAGAAGAGAATGCACTTATTTGGCTGACAACTGATTGATTGATTGATTGAATTGGCTCTAGTATCTAATTGTAATAAAATTTTCTTCAACAAGTGTGAGAGAAAGAGAGAGAGAGAGAGAGAGAGAGAGAGAGAGAGAGAGAGAGAGAGAGAGAGATTAGCCAATGAATACTTTATTCAGTCACAATGAAATATACTGACAGATTTCATAGGCAGAAAGGTTTACAAAAGAATTCTTCAAGAAAGAAAGAGAGGGGCGGTGGCAAGGTTTTCAAAAGAAATGGTCCATCTGGCAAATGAATCACACTTTTCCTCTCAGAGGAACATAGTTGTTGGCATTCAAAGACAATGTTAAAACAAGTTACAATTGACTTCGGACAAATCTTAAACTTATCACTGGAGAAAGCTGTGAGTTTTTTTAATGCGTGAATAGAAGAGAGAACAGTTCCACACTTTAAAGTGGAATTGCGGTATCGCAGCGCTCACTGCTTGAAGAGAGGCAGCAAGAGGAGACAGCCAGCGCAGCCTTCCTCAATAAGAGTAAATGATGAACACAGGCTGGAAGCCGCTCCTGGATGCATGGGTCATGCAGCCAGTCCCAAGGCCCCTGCCCCAGGCAGAGGATCTGCCCGGCATGTCTCTGCGTCCTCCCTCTATGAAGCTTTGAAACCTAGCCTTGACCACAGGCAATAAGGCTGCTCCTGCTTGGCTTGTTTACCTCAGACGCCCAGCCCTCTCTCCACAGAGAATGCCCTGTAGTTTTCTCTCCACATGACATCTTTCTATTTCTCTTTCAGAGAAATAGGAGTAAGCACTGTTCACCAAGAGAAAGCTAAAGAGCACCTGGTTTCTTTCAAAGTATCCTCACCCTATTTTCTTAATCAGCTTTCCCACAAAATAAGAAAGGGGAAAAATATTTACCTGAGGAGATCTCTGATTTGTTTCTGAGAGTCTAACCAGTTTTCCAAAAGCTACTCGATGCTTCTGCTGAGGGTTTCCTATATCCAAAGTGTGTCTCCGATAGCAGCTCTGAGTTTGAGCTCTGAATAGAGGCTGTTATTTTTAACCACAAGGTTCCTAGTCAGCGGGAGGAGGGCTGGGAATAAGGTTCCTTGGCACACAGAGGCGCCATCCACCTCCAGTGAAAAGAGTTCTTGAATCTGATGTAAGAATTTAGGGGGTGGCTCTGAAGAGCCTTCGAACTGACTTTTCCTAACCTAGAGGTTATAACCATGGCAAATTCCAAAGGAGTAAGATAAGACACTTAACATGTTTTCTTATAAAAGAAGCCACAGTGGTACACCCTGCCAAATATTGTCAGCAGAGACAATATTTGGGGTTGAACTGAGCTGCCTGGCTGTCGGAGTCCTGGGCTCAGGATAGAGAGAGTTATACTTGCGGACAGATTTTTCTGCACAAATAAAGGAGCTTTAGCAACAAAAAGCAAATGGGCAGGGCCAAGTCACACAGTTGGCGTACAACTAAAGTCACTGTCCTGTGGATCCCTAGGATGCCAAAGGGCAAGTAGATAACTATTATGGACCAGTTTACTAAGGAGGATTAGTCTGTAGATGAACTTGAATGAGTGAGGTTATGCATTGGTGGTGTACTTGTGTGTCCCTCACCTCCCAAACAACTCTTGAAGCATAGACCTCATTGGACCAGTTGGAACCCGCCCCCCCCCACACCTTGATATTTTGGCAAATGCAAATACCTCCTTTGAACTTGTAGGAGAATGATTTATCACACACAGACTCAACAGCAAGAACCTGGGCTACTGGGATGACCAAAGAGCCTTTCCAGCCAGTCCTCCCCAGATGGCAAAAGGGTTTAAGTCCACTTTTGGAGGAACCCAGAAGCATTCCCATTAAGCAGGGCCATAACTCAGTTTTATACAGAGTCTTTCATCTCAAAGGGGTTGGAGGTGCTTTTGCATCAAAATGTAAATTATCACAGGCATAGTCACCATGGGGATGAAACACTGCTGCCTAGGAGCAGCTGGCTGAGGCATAGCCAGTCAGCCAGGAGCCTGGGTGAGACAGCAAGATAGGCAGCCAGGACCTGTAAGGAAGCATGGCACCTGTCCTTCTAATGGTGGCTTTTCCTCCACAGGGTCGGAAGGGACCTCTTGGGTATATCCCAACTTCTTCCCGAGTTTCTCTCTGACCTTGACCGGTAACCTCTTCTCAATCCTATACTGGCCCACAAACATAAATTGTGCACTCAGAGAGGAATGGATAAGCGAAGAGATAAATGGAGGTTTTCAAATTTGGTCTGGCAGAGCAAGGCTTGGTGTTTGCTTGGACAAAATGACACCTATGGCCCATTTTTGTCCTTAAAGTTTTGTTGGCAAACAGCCATGCTCATTGGCAGTTATTATCTGTGGTGGGTACCCAGGACGTCTTGAAATTCAAAGATGCTCAAGTCTTTGATATAAAATGGGCTAGTGTTGGCATAAACCTTTGCACATTCTTCCACAATCACTTCTATGTGACTTGAAATATCTCACACAATGCAGATATGATGCAATTTGTTTTCATACTTATTGCTTAAGAAGTAGTGGCAGAAAAAAGTCTATGTAAGTTTATTTTCTTAAAAATATAATAATTACAATAAAATTTTAAAATATATTTAAAAGGAGCTGGAGAGATGTCTCAGTGGTTAAGAGCACTGACTATTCTTGCAGTAGGCCAAGGTTCAAATCCCAGCACCCACATGGTGGCTACAACCTTCCATAACTCCAGTTTCAGGGAATTTGATGCCCTCTTCTGGCCTCCTCGGGCATTTAATGACAGGGGTGCACTTACATACATGCAGGCATAACACTCATATATATAAAATAAAATAAAAATTTAACATATATATTATGATATTTACTTATTTGTTTATTTGTGTGTCTGTGTCCGTGTCTGTGTGTCTGTGTGTGTGTGTGTGTGTGTGTGTGTGTGTGTGTGTTTGTACATGTGGGGCCATGTACACATGTGGAGGTCAGAGAACAACTTGTACAAGTCAGTTCTCTCTTTTCATCATGTGGCTCCCAGGGATTGAACTCAGATCATCAGGCGTGGCAGCAAACATTGTTACCCTGGCCCATAGATAAGCAATTAAAAACTTGTTTTGATGTTCTGTTGGTTGAATCAGTGAATATAGAACTCAAAGGTATGGAAGGCAGGGTAGGCATCTTGTCTCTGTAGCTTCAGCATCACCATAGCAGAGTGAAATGGAAATCCCAGAAACCCAGTGCATAGCCAGCAAGGCCTAATTATAATGCTCTCTCTGTTCCATTCCAGAAAAGAACCCCTAATGTATAGAGTTCTGTATTGTATTTTACTGTTCTTGTTTCTTAAAGAGTAGAAGAAAGGGACAAGGAAGTTTTTTCCACAATCCCTCAAGATAGCACTGTGGAAGAAAAATCTTCTTAAGATGCCAACACTGATCCTAGATTGGACTGCAGAATTAATGCATTTCTCAAATCTCACCAGAGAACTTTCCTTATGCAACAGATGTTGATTAACACAGAAATTCACAACTGTCCAACTTGTAGAGAGCAAGAGGCTGCGGGGTTCTTATTCCTGAATACGACACCTATATCAAACTTCTTCCTCCCAATGCTCAGGGTACATTGTGGAAGAGGTGGGAGAAAGATTGTAAGAGCCAGAGGTAATGGATGACCAGAAGGAAACAGTTTTCCAGACAGCTGGGCAGTTACTCATATGAACTCACAGCAATGGTGACAGTGACAGCAAGCACAAGTCCCATGAAAGCTAAAACCAGAAAAAATAAATCCCAGCACAGACATGAGGAAGTGGATAAGGAGCTCTAACCCCAGCTAAGGAAATTGTGGCAACAGATGGCTGCTGGGAGAGGCAGAGACAGTCTCTTTCAAGTATGGGACTCTTGATAGATTAACCAAGATTTAGTGGTTGGACCCACACTGAAGGACATTTGGAGACACAAATTAGACTCTATAGGCCTTATTTTATATATAATATATATATATATATATGATAGAGCACATTAAATTGGGCAGGAGGCAATAAGGGGAGGTGTGGCTAGGGGAGGTGATCTAAACACTCTCAAATTATATTGTATGAAAATCACAAAAATTAAAGAAACCAAATAAACAAAAATATACCAACACCATATTAGGGCCCCAGGTCTCCAATTACATTACTTCTTCATCAGAGAGCGTCTTTCACTCAGATTCCTGCCAAGCCACAGGGATGCAGCATGTCCTTGCATCCCTGAAGATGCCATAGAACCCATGGAGCCCCACCCAGGGCCAGCCAGCGCACTTGTTTTTGAAGCCCTCGCTGTTCCTTCCTGGGTTCATCATATTTTGTTGGTGTTTCTCTGTAGTTTTTTTTAACTTAAAAAAACTTCATTGAGAATACATGCATATAAGGTGTTTTGATCAAATCTGTGCCTACTCCCTCCCCTCCAACACCTCTGATATCTCCCCATCACTTTTTTCTGACAACTTTCTTTCTCTTTCTTTCGTTTCTTTCATTTCTTTTTCTTTCTTTCTTTCTTTCTTTCTTTCTTTCTTTCTTTCTTTCTTTCTTTCTTTCTTTCTCTCTGTGTTCTTTCTTTTCTTTCTATCTCTGCAATTCCCTGTCTACTTATCTCTTTGATTATCTTATTAATGGCTGTCAGTTTCCTGAGAGGGAAGAGGTAAGGCCTCCAGGCAGATTGTGCGTTCTAGGGTAGCCCAGGCTACCCGATGAGCTTAAGGTCAGCCTGAGCTACACAGGAGCCTGTTTAAACATAAAAACACATCTTGTTTATGTTTGTTGCCTGCCCCTCCCTCAAATCCAATACAGCATAAGGCTAGAAGGAGTGCTTGACCGATAGAGACTGCGTAAGGAACTCAACCAGTCTTGGTAGTCTACAAGGACAGCCTCAAAGGAAATGAACTAAAGGGTTTGTCGGGTATTCTCTGAAGACTAGGTTCTCCATGGATGAATTTGGTCCAATCCTCATCCCTAGGTGGGACTGACATTTATACATTCTTGTGTTAGTGGATCTCTTCATTTTGAATTTCTTGTAAAACGAGAATCTAACACTCATTTGGCTGTACAGTGGCACTGAAGGATGTATATTAGATAGGAATGAGACTGGGTGTCCTCTGACTTCTCTTATGACTCCAATTCATGGGAATGTCCTAGGATCTCTGATGTGACATCATCAGAAGATGAAGCTATCCCATGGTCAAAGGAGGCAGCTTGTCCCATCAACCCAGAGCACAAAAGGCCAACTGCCACATGGAACATGGCATTGGCATTAGACCATCTTGAAAATGGTGCTGTCACTCCCCTTATCAGTATCCATGGTCACACATGCATCAATACCTGGAAACACTGGGCAGTGGACAAAGGTTAGACATTTAATACACGCAGGGCCAAGTGGCATCTAGTGAACAAGCAGCCTTCCATCGATAAACTTGGGCTTCCTACTTTACACCTCCTCCCCACAGTAGCAGCTGGAATCTCTCTCCTGCAGCCAGGTGCAGGCAGATGCCACAGGCTGCAGAGTGAGACACATGACAGAAACTGCAACTTGGTGAAAACCATGAGAGGTGGAAAGGGTACAGATGTACTCTTCAAGAGGATAGGAACACACGGCAGCAGACAGCAGCTTTCCAAGGCTATAGGGAGGGACAGTGTGGTACACTGTCTTCCAGGTGAACTCAGGGGCCTGGCCCTGCCTCTGCCACAACAACCTCCCACTCTGTCCGCTGGGTCCCTTGTATTGTGGTACTGCTGATACATATAACCTGCTCACCCATAATCTCTAAAACTTACTGACAACTTTAATGAATCACATGTTGGGGTCAAACTAGCCAGGAGGATCATTTGTTATTAAGCAACACATGCATGGCTATGCCAGCAACTTGAATTTTTACTTCCTGGTGTTGAGGGTTCAACTGAACACTTCACACATGTCAGGCAAGCGCTATAGCACTGACCTGAGTCCCTAGCCTCAGTATGGTTTCGTGTGTGGGGGTGGGTAGGTGG